GCCTCCCAGAGTGCTAGGATTACAGGCGTGAGCCACCGCGCCCGGCCCTCCTCACTTCTTTTTAAAATTATAACAGCTAACAAGTATTGAGGACTTGCTCAGTCTGCTACTATTTTCAGCAATATGCTTACAGCGTGAGATATTTCCAAATGAAAAGATGAGGCTTAAAAACTTGAAGTCTTTTCCCCAGGAACAAGCCAGTACCTGAATTTCAAGTCAATCCTGATGACACCCAAACGGTTTCTCCTAATTGCCGTATTTTATGTAGCTTTTTCATGTGTACTCTGTTCTTCTTCTTCTCATGGTTCTTGCTATTCTTGCAGAATGGTATCTTGTGTTAATTAATCACAGTGGATATGTAAGAAATGTATTAATATCTTAAGTTCATTTTATATTATTCTGTTTTGTTGGACACTTCTGTTATTTAGCTTTCTTATCTATTGCTTTTTCTAGCACAGCCCTGTTCAATAGTGATGTCATAAGAGGCACAATATGAGCCATATACATAATTTAAAATTTTCTAGTAATTACGTTAAAAATGTCAAAAAAGAAACAAGTAAAATTAATTTTAGGAACATTTTTATTTCATTCAATGTATTCAAAATATTCTCATTTAAAGAGGTATTCGATATAAACCTATTATTTAGGTATTTAGTCTTCTTTTTTCACACTAAGTCTGAAATTTTCTGTGTATTTTACACTTTTAGCATCTCTTAATTTGGACTTACCTCATTCAAGTACTCGAGTAGCCTCATGTGGTGTGGGGCTACCCTATTGACCAGCATGAGTCTAGCAAAGACAAAGTCAGGCTATTATGATAGGAATGAATGTTTTCAGTGCAGTGATTCCCAAAATATTTTTGGAACTTTATTCCACTGGAAGATCTGAAATTATGCATTCTCTTGCCCAAACAATGTGTCTGTGTGTGTGTATATGTAAAAAAATGAAAACTTTCAGGTAGTTCGTGGAATCACAGAAGCATATTCATAGCTTCCCTAGAAACTAAGAACCCTTGTCCTTCCTAGTATTTTACTCTTTAATAGTATAATAGCTAAAGGTTTGAGAAAGATTTTTTTTTTATATGTAAGTTAAGGAGATATTCTTCTGTTCCAAATTCACTAAGAATAATGGTCAAGAATGGACGTTAAAACTTCTTAAATGCCCTTTTTATCTTTAACATGATCATATGTTCACTGCTTTCTTATTTGTTAATATCTGCTTCATACTTGTTTTATCTCTCATGCTCTTCTTAAATTTTAAGAGTTTTTTTTTTAACATTTTCATATTGCACACATGCATTATTCCTGCCCTACCATTTAAAATATTCCTCATTTTCTTTCAGTGGAAATCTTGGGAAAGTAGTGTTAGATAAATGCAAGCGCCTCTCCACTTTATTTTCTATCCTGTAGGTTATAAATTTTTACTAGAAATAAAATTTCCAAAAACTCATTCACTATCGTATTAAAACCTAACTGTGTTCTACTTGTATTTCTTTTTCATAGTATCATGAAATTGCATTAGTAGACTCAGAGATAGAAGATATTGGAGAAGCACCATATGAAAGTGTTCGTAAGTAAATTTACTGTGAAAGGATGGCAAGGGTTTTCTGTCCGTGGGTGTTCATTACAGCATCACTTGTTGCAACAAAATGCTGGTAACAACATCAATGTTAATCAGTAAGGGTCTGTTTGGATAAATGATGATTTGAGCCTTGTAAGACTCAGCTATTAAAAGGCACTATCTTTTGTTCCCCTGCCTTGCCTCTGGTCTCTGGGCCCCGAGCCTTTCAGAGGCTCCCCAGGATGATGGGCTGCTGTTTCCTGTGGCTCATCTGGATAGCAGCTTCCTATTTAATCCTTCTTCATCTTCCAAAAGCTTGTGAAAATAATTTCTTCCTTGATGACCCATGCTCTTGGTTTCCTTTGCAGTTAACAATTTCATGCCTTCCCTGGATAATCGGTATGTGTGTGTGTGTGTGTGTGTGTGTGTGTGTGTGTGTGTGTGTGTGTGCCTTCATTCTCTGGAGGGAGCAGAGGTAAACAGCCAAGCTCAGTGAGCTATCTTGCACTAAAAGTCCATCATTAAAATGTAGGTAAATTCAGAGATGGTAAATCTGTCAGTTTGCAATGTTTATTTGCATAATTCACAGTAGAAACTTTACTCACTGGTCATACTGCACTGGATGGATCTTGAATGTGATTCTAATGCATGTGAATTGCACTCAAACCACCAGTGCTTACCTACTCATTTTTTTTTTTTTTTGCCTTTTGATTAAAAATTGTGAATGTTTCCCTGCATGCAAATATAGGAACTGCAGTTTGATTCTAAGTAGAAACTTTTTGGTAGTTGAAATGCTGTAATAAGATACACAGCTATCAATGGTCAAGACTTATGTATCTATTTGCCAGATCCTCCGTTTATCCTGACTTTGAGCCAAGAAAATAAAACAATGTGTTCTTTTTCCTAGACGAACCATGTGGTATTGCTGTTATCAAACCTAATGCTGTAATTAATAGAAAAGTTCTAGACATTAAAGAAAAAGTAAGTAATATTTCCCCAAAATGATTTAAATTAATTGCAAAAATAACAACCCCTTAATTGTCAATTTGGAGACAAGCTTATCATTTAGACTGAAATAGAACATAGTGCACTTCTGGTGCTACATACGTCTAAAGGCTTTGAGTATTTTATGTCTTTAGGAAGGTTTGATCTACTCATGCATCCTTTGAGTAACCCTGCTCTACCAACCTCCCACATAAATTGTAAAAATTATAGTTTTTATATTGGATTGTAACAAATGCTCTTCTTGTTTAATTATGTGTCATGTGATCTTGTTACACTCACATTAACTTGCTTTATTCCCTGTATGTTGTTACAAATGTATGGTATTTTCAATACATGATAGCTTAAGAATGCATTTAATATTTTGCTTTAGAGCTAAAATAAACCTGTTTTTTTTTTTTAAGTAGAGGAAAATTACATTCTAATTCAGAGGTCAGCAACCTCTCCTCTAAAGGGTCAGATGGGAACAATTTCTAGGTTTGCTCACATACGGTCTCTGACAACTACTTAACTCTGACATCATACCAAGACAGCAGCAACAAACAATATGTAAATGAATGGGTGTGGCTGCTCCAATATATTTTATTTATAAAAGCAAGTAGTTGGCCAGGTTTTGAGTGCAAGCTGTGGTTTGCTGAGCCCTGAACAATGACTTTGTGTTTAAACAATAAAATTATATTGAAATTTGAAAGAATGTTGTATGTGCGATAGAGGAGATCACATAGGGTACTATATCTCTTGATGAACTTCCCATTATGCATTCATTCTTCAGCTGTAGCAGCATTAGCATTTATTAAACTACAATAAAATAGTCAGTCCACAGGTTATAGGACATTTACTATCTCTTCCAATTATATGTTGATTTAATTAATATTACTCTCCAAGGATAGCTCTTTTCTACCCTAGATTCTGGTGTCCATGTGGAGGTTGAGAGGGGCACCAGACTGTACCCCATTCATTCCCTTATATATTGCTTATACTTTATGTAGTGTTTCAAAGATAAAATCATATACCAATAGCTTACTGTTTCTTATTAAAGTATGCTTTAATAGCCACGATGGTGAAAGTTTTCAAAATTACATAGTTCTTTGAGTTGAGGCAATACTATTAATCATCAGTTCATCTTATTTTTTTGTTCTAGCATAATAAACAACATTTCAGAGACATAATGAATATCTACTAAATACCTCACCTCTCTGGAATTCAGTTAAAGGCTACATAACAGGACAGAAAAAAATGACTGTTTTGAATAAAAAGAAAATGAGCACACTGCGTTTTTAAACTATAATAAAAGAGAAGTTATCAAGCTTAAATGTTGCTTGGATTTTATTTTCTGTTGTCAGACACTATGTAACTTAATAAAGACATGATTTGGATTTTCAAAAGTTGTTCAAATTGGAATGTCAGTCAGGAGAGTTGTTTAATATCAGCAGTTGTTCAATATCGACAAAGCCAATGAAACCAATAGAGCATTTGCTTTCATTGTTGAAGCAGAATGTACTTGATGCTGGATGCTTCCAGATCAAATGGAGCTCACATTATTGGTATCATTTAATATAATTATTGCCTCGCTTTGAACCCAGCTTCCGCTTTTATTTAATTGTTCAGTAGTATCTCATTGGGCTTGTCACATTTGCCTCAAAACTTCTCTGTTACATTTTATTACACTTGAGCTGCATGCAAACTGAATTTTGTGATTAAATTAAATTTTCATTAAAACAAAGAAAGCATGGTTAAATCTTAAATTCTATCCTTCCTAACAATCTGTGCATATTTGTTGCTTTAAGAGTAAGTTGTACTGGATTATGAGTTATAGCATTCACAAATTGAAAGCCTAAAAAAAAATTAAAGCAATTTTGAAAATAGATGATTAAAAAAATACTTGGAAATTTATGTCTTTATGAATGATTAAGAAAACTATGATATTTTTCCTTGGAATTAAGTTAGTTTTTTTCACATTTTGAAGCAATTCACTTTTACAGAAATATTTCAGAGTCTCTGGTTCAAGTCTTGAAAAACTCATATCTAGGGGGTCATGAAAAGTATCTTCTTTGTGTATTTTTGAGCCACCTAAAACCTAGTGCCACATGGATTTTGCTGAGCTTTTCACGTGAAATGCGTCCAAAGCTGGGTGGTTGGTTAAGCCCGGGAAGCAAACATCCTTAACTTGTTTTGCATGTGTTCCCACAACGCATCTGGATTTCACCCTACTCTCTAATCAAAGATTACCAGAGCAGGATTTGTCATAGAAGCAGAGGATAAGAGAATTCTCACTGAGGATCAAGTTATTGACTTCTACAGTAGCATGGCAGACCAGGTAAGAAAGTTACAAATGAAAAAAGTCACTGTGTACTCAAATACAGTGGATTTCTATAACCTTTGTCCCTACAGAAAAGCAAATGAGTCAGTCTGGTCAACTAAAATAAGCTCCAGGTGTCCTCGTTGGTGTCTGTATCATGGTGATGCCCAAGTTGGTGGCTCTGAAGAAATCACCAGTAGAAATAGTGGCCACCAAGCAAAACTGGAGGATCACATTGTATTTTGTTGGAATGGAAACCTCTTTATGTCATGTCCTCCAGGACTTTGCATCATCTTCTGGAAATGAATATCCAGTGCTATCCTATAGATTTTTCTCGGGGGTCAAAGGCTTCTTGTCATCATCTTCACAAAACTGTTGTAATCCTTTCTTTGCCTAAGGGCCTTTCTCTCAGGCTTTTCTTTTTTTAATTGTCTTTTGTCTGGGGGAATACAACAAAGGAAGTGCTATGTATTGGAAAGTGTACTGTCCTGGGGATCAGGAGACCTAGCTTCTGGAAATGCACTGTCCAATATGGTGCCACTAGACAAGTGGCCATTTGAATTTAAATTCATTAAAATTAAATAGCGTTAAAAATTCAGAGTTTCAGTTGTATTAGTCACATTTCAAGTGCTCAGTAGCCACATCTGTTATTAGCCACTAGTCAGAGAGCACAGAGGAGCATGGTTACGGTCACAGAAAGGTCTACTAGACAGACTTTGTAGAACTAGCTGCAACACTCAAACCATCTCTTCTGGCCCCAGCTTCCACACATGTGAAAGGAAAGGGTTAGACAAGCTACATCAGCATCAACTGTGAACTTTTGAGAAAATCCAATTCCTGAGCCCCACCTCAAACTTACTAAATTAGAAACTCCGAGATTGGGCTCTAGAAATCTGTGTTAACAAGCCCTCCAGATGATGTGGACGCATCCTAAAGTTTGACAATTGTTGTTAGACTACCTTTAAGATCAATTCCTTCTAGCTCTGAGTTTCTATTCCTCAAAAATGTGTTTGTTAACAGGAGGCTTGTAAGGATAACGTTCCCTTGCCCAATGACCATGAAGCAAAAGGTTTCACTTGACCTGGGAAATAGCCACCCTTTTTGTCCATCCATTTCAGGAGACTGAAGTACACTGTTTATCATTTTATTTTGTAGCCTGACTTTGAAGAGTTCATTTCTTTTATGACAACCGGCCTGAGCTGTGTTCTAGTTATATATCAAGGAAGTGAACAAATGCCTGTCTTGGAAGAAACTGAAGCTGAGCCTGAAACGGAACTTAAAGAGCCTACTGAGGATCAACCTGATGTCAAAGCTGAGGTCACACCTGTAGTGACGATGAAGCAAGACAGGTAACTCCAGACTAGGGATTGCATCAGTCACAGTGTGTTATTAGGTGATGACCTGTAATGTCTAAATATCTCAAATCCTATGGACAAGTGTTTTTATGTGGAAGCCACAAGTATTTCTTCCAGTCAACCTAAAATACTGTATGTTCAGAAAAGCTGAGATTTCCCTGAAAGTTTATGTCATGAGCATTAGAAGGGGAAGAATTTCCCCTGCTTGTGTTTCTAAAGCTGAGCACAGTAGTCTGGCCTGGTGGCCTGGGCCTTAGGAGGCATCCGGGAACCATGCACATTCCCTCCCCAGCCAGGTCCCTCCCATCTCTCCACCTTCCCCTTCCACTTCCCTGTGCCCTAGAGACATCAGGCCTGCACTTTTACTTAGGGCAGTTAATGGTTGTAAGTTGCTGAGAACAAAATGGTTGTACGTTTTTGTTAATGGATTTTCAAATATTCGAAAACAAACATAAGTAATTTGCAGAATGTTGGTTTTGTGTGCTGCCATTTGTGCCTTTTATTCCTCTGAAGACCCAGAGAATCCAGAGTTGAGCACAACAGTTGTCAAGGCTGTGTCTGAGAGAAAGTGGAGAGAGCAGGAACATACTCAGAGTGTCTGAGTCTTGAGCTTTCATGGGATGTGTCTCCCTCTGCTTGGAAGTCCATCTCCATCGTATTTCCTGGCTGGGAATCTCCAGGACTTTCCTTGTTGTCTTATTAATGAATTGCAGTGGCTTCTCTTGAGTGGCTACATCTGTTGGTTTTTAGCAGTCTTAGGTAGTGGGAGATCCTCATGTCATTCCTTGCAAGTTTAACACAGGATAGAGGGACTCCTAAGGTAAATCAACTGCTGAAAAAGGGCTTTGTAAACAGGACTAGTTACTTTCAGGGTTTTAAAGGGAAATGATAAGCAATGGTTAGAGGGAAGGTTTGGATGGGATGTGTTGGGCTTAAAAAGATACCTGATTTGTACCAGAATTTTTGAGCCATTCAAAAAAAATGTATGTTCTGTGAAACACTCATTAATGTAACTAGTGTAAGATAAGTCATTATTCCCTTGGGCCATTTGGGCTGTTGTTTAGGTGGTAAATCTCCATCATATCCACCTTTGAGAAGCTATTGTCTCCAGTTGTTCAATACCCACATAACAGCACGAACAATGTAGGTGTTTCACTTGGCAGGGTCGGGGTGGAATGAGCGTGCAAACCTTGCTTTGGCAAAGTCTGCAGTGTTTTCTTCCTAAACTTGGAGTTCCCACTTGCCTTTGGTCAGTGCTTGCCCCAAACGATGGCCACAAGCAGGCAGCATGGGGTGACGTGGAGCTTGCTCTTTTCCCAGCTCTTGTTCTGGAGGGAGGGCCCAGGGCCCAGGGAGGTGCTGTCACCTCCATTTGACATCTTTTAAGTAGATCCAGAAACTGAAGGATTAAGGACAAAACTCTCATGAGTAATTTATTCATTTATTCGCTTTTACTTTTTATTGCCTCCTCACCCTCCTCTCTGGGTGGTGGTGGATGGAGGGTGAGGCAGAAGTGAAGTTAAAAGCGGAGCAATTAGACTGGGATTGATCGGTGACCCCTCCCATGGGTAAGAGATGTGTCCAGGGCAGCAGAGCCCAGGGCTTTGTCGGGCTGGTTACGTCTGCAGAGACACTCACAGCTCGTGAATCACGTGGCCAGGGGAGACTTTCTCCATGCCAATGATGGCTCACCTGCTCCACTGGCTGGCTGGGAGGAGGGGGGAAGATCTTGGAAAACAGGGGTACAAGCACCCACATTTTTCATTCACATTCCAGATTCCTTTCTGATGACTTTTTATCATATTATTTATATTATCTGTTTACTTATCTGTCTTCTTAATCAGCCTATGCATTAAGAAGTCAAAGGCCAATGTCATTTATCTTTGCTTTCTAGTCTTTCCACAGATCAAGAAGGTGTGGTTGTGTTAGCTACATTGCCCAGAGTCACACGAGTAGTTACTGGCAGAGTCTTCACTCACTCATTCACTCATTCTGTTCTGCAGAGATTTCATCCATCTAATATTTATTAAAGTCTCACAGTGTGCTAAGTCCTGGGAATAATGAAAGACACAATGTAGAAGGCAACATTTAAGAAGATGTAGTAACCAAATGATAAATCATGCCCACACCAACATAAAAGCTAAGTACATAAGGATGAAAGTATTAGAAAAATAAGGAGATAGCTGGGCATCGTGGTGCACACTTGTAGTTCTAGCCACTCAGGAGACCGAGGCAAGAGGATTGCTTGAGCCCAGGAGTTTGAGGTTGCAGTGAGCTACAGTGACACCATTGCACTCTACCCAGGGTGACAGAGGGACACTGACTCTGTCTCAAAATAAAAGAAAAAGAAAAAGAAGATGAAGTGGATAAAAATATCTGCTAGCAAACAAAAATAAGCAAGGATATAGAGGAATGGGAGATAAATATTCAATAAGTAATATATAATAAATGATCAATAATGTAGGAAATATAAATATATATACCACCTAACATATTACAAATAAATTTTATCCATTCACAAAGAAGACCTTATCGACATTTTTGAAATTAAAATTTTACCACATATATTTGCTGGTTACAATCCAAATATTTGGAAATAAACAATAAAAAGGTTACAAAAATATCTATTTGAAAATATGAAATATGCATGTAAATAACCCTTAGTCCAAAGACAAAAATAAAAGGAAAAATAGAAACTATCTGGAAAGCTCTACATAGAGGAAAGAAATTTTTTTTTTTTTTATTTCAGCAAATTATGGGTGTACATATGTTTAGGTTACGTGTGTTGCCCTTGGTTCCCCCCCCCCCACCGAAGTCCGTGTTTCTAATATGTTTTTTTTCTTAAAAACATAGCATATTTTCTCTTGGTGTTTGTTTATCCTTTCATAAAGTCAAGTATAGATGACATCATGTAACTGATATTTGGAGTGGGTTCAATAAAATGTTGAATTAAGTATCATATTCTTGTATATAATAGCATAGATTATATACAAATTCTAATTGTATTGTATCTAATAGATAGATACAACTTAGTCTTTACATGAAATTCAACTTTTATTTGCTTTATTAAACTTCATGTAAATTGTGAACATATCAATTTTAATGTGTTGGCATGGTCATTAAACTTCAGTTTATAATAATCTTAAATTATGTTTTGGATTTCAGAACTTTACAAGAATATCTGGAAAGACAACATATATCTCAGTTTTGTGATCTTGAAGAAGATGTAATTAGGGTGACTAAGTTCATTGATATCTTCTTCCCTGATTTTAAAAAAATGAAAGACATGAAATTACAAAAAACACTGGCATTACTTCGGCCAGATCTCTTTCATGAAAGGAAAGGTAGGAAATAAAGCACAAATGGTTTAAGTATTTTGTAGACAGGATTTGAATTAACCCTAGTACAATTACTTTTAAAGACATTGTTCAAAATTTAACATTGAAGAAAAAGCACCTTGAGTAAGAAATTTAGTTAATATTAATTTACTAATTTCTCAAAAAATAATGAATAAAACATTTTTATAGTTCAAGAGTTTACGAGACATTTTCTAACCCATGAATTTGTTAGAGAAGATTTTAATATTACAGGAATTATTATATAATAATGATTGGAAATTTTCATGTCTGAAATGCCTCAATTCAAAACTTGGGTCACCTTAATTGATAGTGTGACTTGAACAAGTTATTTTAACAAGTCTATTTCTTCATCTGTAAAATTCAGATTATAATAACATGAGAAAATATAAATAAAGTACCTGGCACTTCAAGAGCTAGTTATTTTTAACCTCATCCCATATTCTCATAGCAGAGTAAATATGGCAGAGTAAGAGAAATCATAGTACTATTATTTCTTTTTTTATACCTAATGTATGGCAACACAATTGGTATTTGTATGTTGACCTTTTATTCTCTGACTTGCTGAACTTAGTTCTAAGAGCTTTAATAAAGTTTCCTTGGAAATTTCTATGTAAACCAAGGTTTCTTAGCCTTTGACCTGCTTACATTTTAGGCCAGATAATTCTTTGTTGAGGGTTGGGGGCCTGTGTCATGTGCACGGTAAAATGCTTAGCAGCATCCTTGGCCTCTACTCATTTAGTGCCACTGTCATAACCCCCACTTCCCAGTTGTGACAACCAAAAATATCTCCAGACATTGTCAAATGGACAATCATTGATGTAAACAGTAATGTCATCTGCAAAGTGAGATACTTTTATTGCTTTCTTTCCGTCTGTATGCCTTTTATTTCTTTGGCTTGCCTCATTGAACTAGCTAGCACCTCTTGTATGATGTTGAATAGGAGTATTAAGAGGAGACATTCTTGTAGTTTATCAGTTTTTGCCTCGCATATTTGATGTTCTTTTGTTAGGTGTATATATATTATGGATTGTCATGTCTTGGAGAATTGACCCCTTATCACATTATGTAATGTCCCTCTTTGGCTCTGTCCCTCTTTCCTTGTTCTGATTGATGTAGCCACTCAGTTTTCTTTTGATTAGTGTTAACATGTATGTTGTTTTCTATCCATTTAATTTTAATCTATCTATGTCTTTATATTTAAAGCAGGTTTCTTATAGACAACATATGGTTGGGTCTTTTTATTCTACTCTGATAATCTCCTTTAAGTAGCATATTAAGACCATTCACATTTAAAGTGATGATAGATATTGTTGGATTAATATGTACCATGTTTGTAACTGTTTTTTTTTTTTTTTTCTTGAGACAGAGTCTCGCTTTGTTGCCCGGGCTAGAGTGAGTGCCATGGTGTCAGCCTAGCTCACAGCAACCTCAAACTCCTGGGCTCAAGCAATCCTCCTGCCTCAGCCTCCCGAGTAGCTGGGACTACAGGCATGCGCCACCATGCCCGGCTAATTTTTTCTCTCTCTATATATTTTTAGTTGTCCAGATAATTTCTTTCTATTTTTTAATAGAGACGGGGTCTCGCTCTTGCTCAGGCTGGTCTCGAACTCCTGACCTTGAGCAATCCACCCGCCTCGGCCTCCCACAGTGCTAGGATTACAGGCTTGAGCCACCACGCCCGGCCTATAACGGGTTTTATTTATTGCAATACTTTTTGGTGTTAACAGAAAAGAAGCCAAACTCTATTAAATAATTGTAAGAGTTTTATTGTGAGCTGAATATGTGTGACCATGGCCCAGAGAGCTATGCCCAAGAAGCCTTGAGCAAGTGGTCTCACCATAGTTGAGTTACAGTTTGGTTTTATACATTTTAGGGAGACAGGAATTTCATGTAAAATCATAAATCAATACATGGAAGGTGTACATTGGTTTAGTCTGGAAAAAGCAGGACATCTCAGGGGGATGTAGGGGATTGCAGGTTATATAGGTGGGTTTAAAGAGTCTTCAATTTGTAATTGGTTAAAGAAATGAACCTCTGTCTAAAGGCTTGGAATGTTTTAAGTTAAGATAAGGAAGTCTGTTAATCAGAGATATGATTACAGACATACACTACACGTATATCCAGACTCAAGTGATCTGTTAAGTAAATTGATGACCTGCAGATTTGGTTTAACCTTTGTCTTACATGGCCTTAGGCTTGGTAGTAATTTTGTATCTTATTGTTACAAAGGAAAATAAACAAAAAACAAAAAAACTCCAAAAGGGACAGGGAATAACTAGGCATGTCTGACTTCCCTTCTCCTCATGGCTGGCAAGTCAGCTTCACGGTTGTGTGTTTTTTTTGGGGGGGGAGGGGTTCCTCTTGGCTAAAGGGGTCGATTCAATCAGCTTGGAGTCTTGAGATTTTATTTTAGTTCGCACTGCTTAGTGTTTTTTGAGCCTCTTGGATCTGTGGTTTGGTATCTGTCATTAGTTTTGAAAAATTCTCAGCCATTATAATTCCACCTATTTCTTCTGCTTCTTTCTCTCTTTCTTCTTCTGGTATCATCGCTATGTATGTGTTACACTTTGTAATTGTTCTAGAGTTCTTAGATAGTCTTCTCTGTTTTTTTTTTTTTTTTTTCATTCTTTTTCCTAAGCTCTCAGATTTCTGTTAATACATCTTCAGTCTCACTGATTTTTTTTCTTGACTGCATTAAAACTACTGATAAGCCCTTTAAAAACATTATTTATTTCT